TATATATATATATAAAAATATATAGACACGCAAAAGATAAAATTTTACTATTAAAATTTTAGTTGTTTCTAAGCAAACTACATGAGTTTGCAAGCTATTAAAATAAAACTTTGCAATAATATTCTATTATATATTCTTTATTAAATAAAAAAATAAAATATAAAATTAATATATAAGTTTTTAAAGAATCTTAATTTAAAGTTAATAATAATTTACTATATAAATTTTTATTTTCTTACATGTATTCCCCGTGTAATACGTATACGTATATATTTAACGTTGAAGTAAACAAAACAAAATGTGGCGTTCGTGATTAAAGATCCGGTACGCCACACCTAAAAAGTCAATTTAACACGCTAAATGAATTTATAAAATGCATATGTAGAATGTTCTCTATAAAAGGATTTAACTTTCAGCATATAATAAAGGCAAGAAACATCTATAACCCCAAGGCCCCAATTCTGAACTTAATTTTTTCGTCGGGTCCACAGATTAAATTGCAAACATCGAGATCTCATAATGTAAGATCATTTTTAGTAAAATTATTCTGCAATATGCCACATAAGAATGTAATAAGAGAAGATGGAAGATTTAAAGATAAAAAGGAAACGAGAATGGTGAAGGCTTTACATATTTATTTATTATCACCTTATGTAAAAAAAAAAAGGTTCGCTTTGATAGTATTTAAGTTCAAGAATTGGACCTTTGGCTGAAGGTCAGTACAACTCAGAATGTCTACGTAGCCATCTTTGGCATCTAAAATAGTGTTAGTGATATTGCAACAAACACATAACCAAATTCGATTGAACTATATAGTTTATAAAATAAAAATAAGAAATTTTATATAATTTAGTTTGATGGTTTTTGCGATATTGCTCGAGATAGAAATGTCTGGACACACTGATGCAAGTGCAAGATAGTACTAACCAATAGACATACATCACCAAGTACGATTATTTTTTATTTCTTTTGGATAGAACAATGTTGATCGACTATGAATAACATGATTTGTGCAGAAAGTTTGGCATTCTTGGTAATAATTACCATTGTCGTGATCCACGATCGACAATTGTATCCAATACATGTCATAAAAGGCGGTCACGACGTGCATATAAAGTTTATGATAATTTGAATAAACGAAAAAAAAAGCAAGTCTATTCTTCCATCACAATTATTTTGAACACAATTATAGCACGGGTCTTTACGAAAAGGTTCATTGTACAGTAATTTTTTTAGTGTTTAATCTCAATGCTAGTACCATAATAGATAATTTTAATGATATATGTATGTGATTTGTAACCATGGTCTCGAATCGATTTCTATGGACAAAATAGAAGTTATGTGAATTGATCAAAAAGATTGATAATTTTTTTATACTTTTTTAAAGGTTATTCTAGCTGTTATTGCTAGTTTAGGATGGATCATACGTTTTTTGCAAGCGAAAAAAAAAAAAAAATCAAAAAAAATAAATAAAACTAAAAATAAAATAACATAAAATAAAAAATAAACATAAAATAAAAGAGTGGACCTCCAAAAATAGCAAAAGCCTAATTCCATCATGTGTTTGACTGCTGAATTAGCAAAACATTTGTTTGCTTAATGATTGTACTAATTTAATCAATTTTGATCAATTCCGAGTTAGTAGCATATATATATTAAATATTAGTTAATGCGTAGTTTTAGTAAAGACAATATTCGTTCACATAGATTTTTTTTGTTTCATTAATTATGTCAATTTGGCATAATCGGCGATCAAATTAAAATGATCCATTTATTATTGTTAAAAATCCGATATATTTATATATAAAAAGATTGCAAAATCTCACATATTACTTTCTCTCAACCTTTTCATTTCTTTTAAAATTAAATATTTTCTTTATTAAAAATCATGGGTAACTGCATAAGAAGACAAAAAGATAGTGAAGATTGTGAAGATGATGGCCATATCAATGGAGCAAAAAATAGATCAATAGGTTCTTTCGTCAGTGTATTGAGAACTATGTGGTCTAAACGTGGTTGTCGTTCTCAACAACATTCACCACAATCTATCACAAAATCTGCAAGCGGTACGCAATTTCCAAGTCTATTTAGATATATTGATGGCAGGAGATATCACAATGATGAGAATTTGAAATATCCATTACCGAATGATGATGAGGAGATAAATCGGTTGCAATCTCAACACTATTTATTTAGACATGCTTGGGGTAAAAATTACTCTTCACCTGTTGAAGAAATTCTTAGAGCTGGCGGTGCGCGCGTGTTGGATGTCGGGTAATTTTTATAATTAATATATTAAGATACTGGAATTTATATAACAAAAGATAGTGATGGGATATCACCACCTTTTGTTGTATTATGATGAATATTATAGTGAATGCTTATCACGTGTTTATCTATCGCTTCTGTATATATTAAAGATGTGGTCCAGCGACTTGGATACTTGAAATGGCGAGTGAATACACGACGTCTTCGTTTACTGGGATCGATATTTCACCTGTTTTTCCATCGAACATCAAACCACGAAATGTTCAATTTAATCAGATGAACGTATTGGATGGCCTTCCGTTCGAAGACAATACTTTTGACTTTGTATACCAACGATTCATGGGATTAGCGTTGACCGAAGAGCAATGGCCGATTTTACTTTTAGAACTTGTCAGAGTGACAAAACCTGGTGGCTGGATTGAATTTATGGAATGTGATTTGCAATTTGATAACGAAGGACCTATTTCATCGCGCGTTAATAAAGCAGGTATATAATAAATTTGAAACCGGTTTATTTGTTATAATATTAAATTCGGATTTAACCGGATTTATTCTATAAGAAATAAAACCGGTTTAAAACTTCATTATAAAAAACTGATTTAAAAACTTTATTACATATCGATATATTTTTATAATCGCTAATAACACTAATAACGTGTAATACCCTTAAATTTTTTTTATGATATTTCCAGCACAAATGTATCTAAAATCACAAGGAATAAATGCATTAATATGTCCTCACGTGCCTCACTTAATGGCAAATTTGACTGATATGGAGAAAAAACAGATATCTACGCCATTGGGACAATGGGGTGGTCTAATTGGAGAACTGGTATGTACTTTTTCAAATAATTTCCTTTATTACTTCTAAATGCATCTCGTTAACGCGAGGAAAAATTAAATCCCAATAAAGAAAGATCACACAAAGAAATCTGATGGATATATTATTTTTTTTATATATTGCATGCATATTTTAAATATTCTACTTTATGCATGATAAATTCAAATCTGTATTGTCACGCTATATCTAATATTCCGTACATAATTTAGGCAAGAGACAACATAATCGGTTTGAGTCGATCATTGAAACCGGTTTTATTTCCAGTTCTCAAAGAAATGCTTGGTGATATCGATCTAGATTATGAATCGATCGTGAAAGAAATAGTAGATAATGAAGTTAACCAATATATGTCTAGTATAAAGTCTGTTAGATTTTATGGAAAAAAAAAAATTACTGATAATATCAATGATAATATCATCAATGATTGATTAAACTTAGATTAGTATATATAGATAAATTATTATAAATTTAATTTATAATTTATGGTTTATGTTTTTTATAATATCTTTTGTATCATTTAAAATTGTACAGAAAGGCAATAAAAAAATCAAAAATAACGATAAACGTCATGATATATATTTAAATTGTACATAGGACCCTGCATATTTCATGCATGTATGTATACTATGTATACGACCTGTGTTGTTAGTGTTAATAGTTGTTATTAGTTGTTATTAGTTGTTATTAGTTGTTATTAGTTGTTATTAGTTGTTATTAGTTGTTATTAGTTGTTATTAGTCGACTGACTTTTTGGCTAAGCTGTCGGTTTAGTCATTAATGCTATTTATTTCATTGGTCAAAAATGAGCAATTTATTGTTGATACGTAACTTGCATGTAGAGATTCTTCGTTCTTCATTAACATTCGTATTTACCGTTGCTACTGCATACAGTACCCTAATCTATGGATCTATGGTTGGGGATATATCAAATTTATAGTTGGGGATATATCAAATCTATAGTTTGGATCTGGGATATATGGTCGGATATATCAAATCTATAGTTGCCAGGTAGGCAATACCTAGTGTTTGGACTCGAGTCAACTCGTAGCTTAAAAATCATAGTCTTAACTCGAATTAACTCAGTCAAGACTATGTTATTAAAGCCATGAGTTGACTCGAGTCTAAACACTAGGTCGGGGCATTATTTTTTGGGGGTACTATATGCAGTGGCAGACGGTAGAGGTACGTATGTATATATTTTAACCTTAGAATATTATATATATATAGCAATGAAACGGCAACGTTTTATAGGTGCTTAAATTTTGTAAATGAAAATTGTATAATGTTAACTTGCATCAATCTATGCGTACCATTAAATAATTTTTATCAAAAATCTAATCTAATTATATAACAATAGAATTTATTGCTAATTTAAAGCAACATATTTTCGTAAGTTTATAAATTTCAATTTTTAATAATTCACGATATTCTTCGACCAATCTCTGTTGCAAACGTATGCTTTCTCCCACTTTTTATAATCTACCATAAGATGTCAGTGAAATTTCACCACTATTGGTGAACCTCTAATTAAAACTGTTTAACCGCTAAAGATTTGTTCAATATTTCTTGGCTAAATTATGTTGATCATGGGCCAGAATTATATTAATGTTGTCCAAATTAATCGGTTAACACATTCAAACGGTTAAGTGATTAAAAGAGTTTTAGACAGTTCTAGAAAGATTAGAACCGAATTAAGCTTAATTCGGCCTAAATTAAGCTTAATTCGGGCCAAAATTTTAACTTACACCCCCTCGAGAGTTATTTCGAGATGATACGCAAATAATTTTTTAATCAATTTCTGATTAATTTTACAGGGAATAATGTTCCAAAATCAAAATATATCTTATTACAGGGACAGACTTTGTATATCATCGAAAGGTCTTTTACTCCGCTCCTCTTCGCTTTAGGATTCCTGACGATAAGTATCTATATATACATATATATATAGTAATACAGTGTATTCTTAAGTAGTGTTGCACATTTGGATGTTTCGGCCTTTTTGAACTGTTCGGACAGCACTCTTATCTTGTTTATAAATCTGTCTTAAAAATAAATATACATGTGCAAAACTTAATTTTGATCAACTTTAATTAATAGCGAAATCTTAAAGTTTAGTAAAATTTTGCTTTATTCATCAAAATTTTCCGAATTTGTCCGAGCTATTTGAATTAGCCCATTTTTGATATACCCAGGTATAAATCAAAAATCACTCTATATAGATGGTTGCATGGTATATATCCCACGGGAAAATACTACGTTTCACATAAAAGTTACCCACCGTTATAAAAGCTACCCACCGTTATATTACACAC